TTACTTTTTATACCATTAATTAACACATTTAAAGCACATTTAATAGTGTGTGCGCGTGTGTGTATGTGTGTTTGTATGTGTGTATGTATGTATATATATATATATCTGTGTGTGTGCGCGTGCGTGTTTTGAGAGTGTGTGTGTGTAGTGGAAAGAATAATAACTAACTAGACGATTGCATGTTCAAAAGAATTTATTATTATTATTTTATTACCATTACTGCTAATAGAAGTAATTATAAATAATAATAATATTTTTATCATTGCTAGTAGTACTAACCATATTTTTTAGAAATAATACTTTCTACATTTAAATTTTAAAAAAATCTAATTGATTGAACGAATGACTCAAGAATTATTGACATTGGGGTATTTGTCGTACCGTATGCTATATTTATATTGTATATATATATATATATACATAATGCATTTATGTGTGTATTATATATCAGTATATATATACGATTGAATGAATGATTGAATGAACGAACGAACGAATGAACGAATGAACGAACGAATGAACTTTCAAACGAATGATGAATAAATGTTGAATAAAGTTATGTATAAAGTGTTTTTAGCTTTATGTATTTGTATATATATATATATATATATATATATATATATATATATATATATAAACGTACGTACATACATATACATATATATAGATATGTGTGTGTTTGTTTGTGTGTGTGTGTGTGTGTGTGTGTGTGTGTGTGTGTGTGTGTGTGTGTGTGTGTGTGTGTGTGGTGATGGGTGTTAATTATGAACGTGACGAACTGAGCCGACCGAAGTAAATTTCTTTAGCGGCTTTTCGAAAGAATTGTGGAAAATAAATTAATTTTTTGCTTTGTATAGAATGCATAAGGTACTTTGCAATACCCTATACCCTGTGCGTAAGCATGGCATCACGGTATATGTGTGTGTATTGACTGTATACGGTATGGATTGATGCTATATGTATGCAATATAAGTATTTTATAATTGAAATGAAGTGATTTTTACGCGTAAAAAGTACAATACCTAGATTTTCATACATGATTGTGTAGTATCTAGTATCTACCTGTCGTGTCAGATTTAACTTCGATTGATTTAGAGCTATATTCGGTTAATTCATTTTTGATTTTAATCTAAGAAATCATTATTTGAGATAACTTAATAGGTTGATCGGAATATTTATGGAATTTATTAAGGTATGGAATGATCTTCCAACAAGATTGAAGCAAATTGTTCCAGAAAAAGATTTCAGAATAGAGTTAAAAAGTTATTTGTTCAACAAAGCATTTGATCACAGTACAATCCTCTGAGGAATGTTATTATAGGGAATAACATAATAATAATAATACTAATTTGTACATACTAAACAATTAACGACGCCTGTAACGCTAAGCTACCTTGTAAGAACCTTTTCTTTCGTTAATATAATTTCTTAAAAACTGCTTTTTACAGCACTTCATAGGCTGTATAGATCAAGTAGTGTAGATTTTGAGGTAAGGGATTTTTCGCATTCTTTCAACCAAGCCACTCAACAAGAACACCAGTCGCTTTATCCGTCGTGATACTGGGCGGCTTTCCAACAATGAACAGGCAGGCCTTGCCACAAGATCAGCACGAACGCCCGTCATCCACAAAAAACTAAATCTTGAAGATTAGGAAGAAGTATTGACATTTACAAAACGTACTAACATAAGAACACCTGAGAACGAGTCTAAATCACGCGAGGTTTCAAAAACAATGCCAGCGTCATTTTTTTTTTAGTAGATTATTTTTTCTCCATTTTCAATAACAGAAGAAAGTGTCGATCAAAACGGATTAATTAGTTAAATAATCAGCCGATTGATTAGTGGCAGACTCCTTGATTAATTTAGAAATCATTAAACTGAAACGAATGTACGTAAATATTGAACGAGAATGATGGTTAGTTCTTTACTCATACAAAACAATCGACACATTGAATAACGGAGAGAAACACGAAAAAATAACGGTCTAAGTGAAAAGCAATAAAAAAAAATAATTAACACGAACACGGTACATTTCACAATGGGATCACGTCGATAAATTTGAGAAGTTTTCATGTAGGAAGAGAAATTTTTTCAAATCATCGCCTACAAGTGAGAGTTTCTGAATTTTATCGCACACGTTCTCGTCTTTAACGACGTTTCGAATGTTGCAGCAACCAGCTGGCAGACTCAAGATAATTTTTGCCAGTTTCGACAACTTGGGTAGAGATTTTTTCTGCTCTTTCCACCAGGTCAGAGGGTCGTCATTGGCGCTATCTTCAGGCACAAATAGGCAGATGTACTTTTGAATTTCTCTTTCAAGAAAATTTTGATTGCTGACGTTGGTCTGCCTAGCCAGAATCTCCAGCTTCATTTTCTTCCACGGTGCCACGTCGGCGGCCAAAGACGAGCTGTTCAAATCAACCAACTCCACTTTTGCTTCCTTTCTATTCAATTTTATATTCTCAATTTCGTCATCAGCTTCGTTGACTTTGACATATTTTTTCACCATTTTCGATAGGAACTCGACAGATGTCAGTTGGTTGTGGTTGAGGAATTCTCTGATGGAAGGAAGATTTCGTTGAGATGGATCGAGCAGTGCAGCGCAGACATGCAGGTCCGTTATTGGAAATCTGATCTTCAGTGATGCCAACATGTTTCTCTTGATGCTTTCGATCGTTTCACTCTCGTCATCAGCGTGTGTCGTCAGGATGGTCTCAATTTCAACCCTCAAAAGTAGTACCAGCATGAGAGAACAACTGGCATTCAGGCTTCCGTTTAAAATTTCAAATGCTGACGAAAATTTTTTAAACATGGACAATAATCCTTTCAAATCATGTAATTTGTTATTTAGTGAACTTTTAACGTTTTCATGTGCAACATCATCATCTAGATCAGCTGGTACTTTTGAGTTCATTAAGTCTTTTATAATGTACTCAAGTATTGGTTCTAATAAGTACCAAGGCATCTGAGTCAGTGTTTCTTTAACATTTGATTTTGAATTATCCAGATCTGTCCAACTCTTAACAACTTGATCTAAATGTTTGAAGGCATTCAATAGCTTTTGAGATTTAAATGGAGGCCTCTGATTAAGTTCATAATGGCTGTTCATTTCACGCAATATTTGCAAGTAGTTCTCATTTTTTGAGAGGCCATCAACGTTAATCAGGTTGTTTAAAGAGTGAATCAAACAGTAGTACTTTTCGAGATGTAACTGTGTCGGCTGTTCAGTGACGTCATCAACTTTCTCGTCAACCGGAGAACTTTCATCGACGAGGAAAAATGTTTTTTCAGTCAGCTTGTAATCGGTGCAGAAAACCTCGAGAAGGTTAATGTTTGAGACTATGACATCGCCCGGTATGACCAGTGGGAGAGATAATGTCACCAACTCAAAATCTTCGTTGCAAAAGTAAAATTTGAATTTAGAGTACCTGAAAGTTGAACAAACCAAGCCATCTTGTGATTCAACTGCCACTGACAAGGTGGATGGTGATGTCTTGAAAATATCTGACACCTTCCTCATGGCTTCGGGGAACATATTCAGAAGCACCTCATCACGTATCGATGAAGAAGTAGGCAGAAGCAGATAATTCACTGCCTCTAAATTGAGTAAAAGCTGTTTGAAACCCTCCCCTTCAACGATATCAAAAGGCAAAAGATCTTTGCAACACATGACTGCCAGGTTGCTGATGATGCTAGACTGCTGATCTACCAACACAGGTGACTTTGTTGAACTGGATTCTTCCAAATCTTTCATTGCACGACTAGTTGATGAGATGTTTTTGGAGTCCATGTTGTCAAAATCTTCTGACCTTGATTCGCCAAACAGCAACATACTGTCCTCGTAATCCTGGTCCTTCAGGGTGGAGACTTTGCTGCTGTCCACATTCATACCTGCGAGTGATTGTTAAATGGTAAGAATACAATATAAATATCACCAAATACTGATATGAAATAAGTAACATTAAAGTGATTTCACAATATATCTCATATAATAACATATTGCTAGCTAAGTCTTTGTAATCTTGCTTAATGCATTAAATGACTAAACTGAGATTTGAGCTCAAAAACTTAACTAATTGACAGTTAAAAAAGCTTTTACACTAATTTTAAAAAGAAAAACTCAGCCAAGAATGAATAACAAACTGATGTTATGTGCAGTTATCAAATGTCTTTGCAAGTTTGTTGAACTGGATGAGTATTTGTAGCTGTGCAGGTGTCCTTCTTGGAAGCATAAGTTGCAGTAGGAATCGTTTGATATGACGGTAGGTTCGCACGCCTCATCCTTGTACACCAACGTGCCAAAAAACCTCCACACCACACTCCTGCTCGACCTACAACGAGGCTTCATCAGAATGGACAACTTCTTGAAATCTTCGATATCCTCAACTTTTGGTGTTATATTGAGAACTTTAGCACTGACTGTTGCAGAGTTCATTTCGATGTCATTTTCCATCTGATCGGCGAGTTTGGACGTATTGAACATTGTATTATATTAGATATCCAGATTCGTTATGAAATAGAGTTGTCCAGTTGTAATACCAAAAAAAACCAAACAACGAAACTAAGTCGTTCGCTACAACTTATAATAAATATAAACCGTCAAGATATACAACTATAAGGCGTGACAACAATGGCCTACCAAAAATTTTTTTAAAACTTTAGCGAACTAGCAACCCAAAAAAATGGCGTATAAGCGACTCGAGAAAGAACTAAACAGACTCAGAGATAGAAGTATACAACTCATAGAGCTTCATATAGCGAACACGTGTATAGGCATGTATAGAATGATAGCAACGCATATAAGCACACACTACAGTGGAAACAAAGCGCTCAGTAGTAGCAGCTGTGTTATAGATAGCGAATACGAGCCGTTGCTCAATCATCCACTAGCAAACATATACATGTATATAGGATATAGCGTCTATATGTATGCGTGTTAAGCAGTATATGCTGTGAAGATCATATATGGACTTAAAATAGCGAATTGGCTCAAAGCATGAGAACATACATATGTATATATATACACATATATACATGGATATATACAATACATGCGTGTTGTGCATTCTACATGTGCTAATGAATATTCATATTTTTCTGTATGTGCCACGTTCTTCTGTAGCTAAAGTAGAAGAGTTGCGATTGAACGAGTTTGTTTTAGTATTGTGACTATATCACGTAATAAAAATAAACAACCAAACAACTGGTTGTAAAAAGTGATTTATAGTATACAATCTAAAATTCTCTTACAGTCTATATGCATTAGTATTCGATTTATATACTGCCGATATACATATACACAAAACGCGTTTTCACTACCACTAAATCATTAGCCTAAAAATTAAAACAGCTTATATTATTATTAAGTCATTCACTTTTAGTATGTAAACTTTGTTCTAAACGCCCATATTTTTGACAGATGTGCAATTTTTATGTTAACTACACTAAGTGGTAGTAGTAACTATTAACAACATTACATTACATTTCCACACATTACATTACATTTCCATAAACTACATTACATTTCTCTACATTACATTACATTTCTAGTGTACTGTCTGTTTTTTGTTCATGAGTTTTATACTAATGTCATTTTATGTCTATGTATTGCTATTTGTAAGCTTCAAAAAAGTATATTAAAAAAACTAGGTACCATGAACACTTAGGAGATGTTTGTAGAGATTGCAGGAAGTGCTCAGTCTTTTATACCCCCTAAGTTTGCCCTCTTGGAAGCAGAGTGCGCAGTACAAATAAGTCCTTTCAGATTTAGGAATAGTAACAGTTGTGTCATTTTTTCTCCTCAGGTATCCATAGTAATTCCAAAATTTGGCCTTCCTCCTACCACCATCGGGTCTAATTTCATATTCATCGAAATTAGGAATAGCTTGTTGGCCGTTCGACGAGTCGTGACTTAGAACATCCATCACGTTTCCATAAGATGGATCAAGATTAAATAAATCAGTGACAAAACTGATTTTATAAATATTAATTGTTATTTATTAGTATGGTAGATTAGATATTCTAATTAGATGGTTTTTCTAAGATGAAGAGAGTTGTTGCGGTATCCAAATCCAAAATCAAATGAAAAAGATGAAAAATATATAATTATAAATAAGATAATGACAAGTTTATTAAGAATCTTAATTTAAGATCATGACACATGATCATATCATAAATAATAAATAAATATTGTGTGTAGTTTACAAAATAAATATTATATTAAAAAGAATTAGTTATTAAGTTTAGAATTAATTAATTTAGACTTGGAATCCCTACATATAATCTATATATTTATACTTTTTAGTTTTATACTATAATACAAATAATTGAAATTGAATAAAATACAGAATAAAATAATTGTCAATCAATAACTAAGAAATTTATTTATAAAATTGCATAAAACAGGCAACTGCAGTTGTTGATATGCGATCTAAAAATTAGACTAATTAAAATATAAATCAAATTTTTTGGCTTTAAAACATTTTAAAATAAACAGATAAAACAAATAAAAAAATAAAATAAACAACAAATTGGTTAAGTTAATACACAAGCATTCCTCAAAGCATTGTTTACATTCGTACGTTAAGTTAGCACAGAAACACGTATGGCATCAGTATGACGTCATCGTAAACTTTAACATGCCATTGTCAAATTTGGGCTTCAATTCTTATAAATTATATGTAATAATAATGATAACGTAATTAATAATTTTAGAAGTAATTTAATTAAATCTTGTTAGCTATACATGTTGATAATGTTTCATTTGATAATCTTCAAGTTTTTATAGATAATTCTCTTTCTTACCATTTTTTAATAAATGTTTTTTTGATAAACACAGAACTCTACGTTTCACTCTAATTTTTAGAATCATTTGTAACCTCAAATCGTCCAAGAGGTTGAATAAAAGGATTACTATGCCCCAATGGTTAAACAGGATTTTATGAAGGGCTTCCCAAATTGTCCGTTACCTTAGATGCTTAGATCTATTTTAATTCATGAAATTATTTTTGAAATGGAAGAAAAACCAGCTTTAATATTCGAGTTATCACTGTGTGTGTGAATGCGTGTGTTCATACGTGTGTGTAAGCGCACATGGGATGGTGGTTATTATTGATGCCTTGTGGATTAAACAAGAGCAATGAAAACAATTAATTTCATTTGTAATTAGAAAGTAAGGTAGTAGGAAGCACGAAATATCATCATTCATAGTGAAATGAAAGTTTTGGTGTGAAAAAAAATTGTTTTTTTTTGTATTTATTCTGAGAGAGATTTTCATTTCGCACTGCATAAACAACAAAATAAACGATTTTGATTTATCGATAGGTGCATTTTATTTATACAATCATTCGAAACTCTTTTGCATTCAAATGCACATGTTTTGAATATTTTATTCATATACACAAAATTTATCACTGAAATTTAAATTTTTATTTAAATATTAAAATTGAAAGATAATTGTTGATATTGTTCAATTCATACCAAAGATGTCGACATGGCTCTAGGTTTTCTACCAATCAAGGTCTGGCTATGATAAGAATAAACCGATGTATGTACGTCTGTGTACGTGTGTATATGTTTGTTTGTGTTTGTTTCATTTATTCTCATTACATTCTCGTTGAATATTTTGAAAACGACCGCCCCATTAGACCAACGATTTCTACATTTTGTCATAAGGACAGGAAGAAAAACGGATGATTTATTTTACACCGGAATCGTATAGTTATTCTGCAGTGGCGGATCCAGGTAATTAAGATCCCTACCCATCTGATCACAAAGGGTAAAAATTTTGAAGATTCCGTGTAAATAATAAAGTCATAAGCTTAACATCTTGAAAATATTCATACCACCACAGAAACTGGAATTAACCAGAAATGGATCGTCTCATTAGAATTTCTCTGGATCGGTCGGATATGTAAACAAAATTTATTCATTTTATTTAACCTGTACGTAGAAATAATTTCGTATAAACATTTTCATCAATCATATTTAGTTCATTATCAAAATTGCCTGGTAGGAAAATTTGAAAATGTGATAATGACGGGTAATTAATTATTAGCCAAAGTACTTAAGTCTAGTCTATATCTCCAGGTACAAGGAATTGGGTAAATACACACAGCTACAACTAATATTACTAACATAAATATAAAAACAATGCAAATCTTTTTAAAACGTTTAAACAATGGCCTAATGCTTAAGATAGAATAGCTAAGGAAAATAATTTATTGGGGTGGGTAGTAGATACGCACACACACAGACACACATACACATCACACACACAAACACCACACACACACACACATACACACACACACACACACACACAAACATATATTTACGCACACACACATACACCCATGTAATCATAAATAATTCAAACTCTTTCACTATGCAAGTAGAATATAAATCAAAAGAGAATAAAATTGAAAAGGGAGCCAGTACAAAGAACAAACGCTTACTCTCTGTTTTTGAATCTTTTTCTTCGTGCAACAATCGCAACAACAGCAACAGAATACAATCTCATCTCATAATGGAAAGAAATTGTGAAAATTAGTAATGAAATATTAAAATAAAATCAATAATTTTGTTGTTGTCGTTGGTTGTAGTGGCTCGTGTTGATGACGTTAAGGATGATAAAGCAGTTGATGATGATTATTGCTGCTGCTGTTGATGATGAGGACGATGAAGAAGATGATGAAGACGATGAAGAAGAAGATGAAGAAGAAGATGGGGACGATGATGAGGTAGAGGATGTCGTTCTAATGGCTGTAATAGTTATTAATGTTTCGTTGTGTTTATAATCTTGTTGTGTTTGTTGTTGGTGTTGCTGTTAATATTACTATTGTCGTTGTTGTTAATGCTATTACTTTTATTATTATTGTTGTTGTTGTTGAAATTTGTTGTTGTTGTCGTCGTTGTTGTTGTTGCTGCTGCTGCTGTTGTTGTGGTTGTTGTTTAATTTGTCGGACCCTGTCTTTTAAATTGCAATATATCTAACCGCCGGCGCAAAATATCATGATATACTCGATTGTATTGTATAGCCTCGTTGTTTGTTTTTGTTGTGTGTTGTTGGTTGTTGTGTATGTGTTTATATGTAAGCGTGTGTTGTTGTTGGGCTCGTTTTGTTTTGTTTGCTGTTTTTTGTCTGTGCGTGTGTTGTTGTTTATTTGCGTGTGTGTTTGTATGTTGTTGTTGTTTGTTTGTATGTTGTTGTTGTAGTAGTTGTTGTTGTAATAACAATAGCAAAAATAAAAAAATTATGATGATAATTATAACAAGAATCGTTTTTAATTGTTCATAACACACGCATGAACGAGTATGTATGCTATATTTGCAATTGCAATTGCTGGTCGGTTGGTTGGCTGGTTGGCTTGTATGTATTTATGAAAGAAAAAATGATGATGATGAAGAAGAAGAAGATGTTGGGAGGATGATGTTGTTGTAGTTGTTGATAGTGATGATGATGTGGTTGTTGATGATGGCGAT